ACTCTTTTAGGTGGACACTTCTGCCCAACATACCACCAAAAACTTGTAATTGGATCTTAGTATCAGCTGAGCAAAAAATTAATACATCAAAGCTCCAGCAAAAGCTAAAGGTCCACCAGAATAGGGATCATGTGAGCAAAAGGAATTTCTTTCTCCATGTATATTTATATTCAGACAGAGATACGATCCTAAAGTGACATTCTCTGTGACTATTTCTATAACACATTGCCTCTTGCAGAACTTAGGGTCAACAGAAAAAGTGCTACTCAAGTTGAAAAGTAGAAAAACGCTACTTAACTTTTACATCAAGATCTAGGGGAACCATATTTTACAGAGCTAAAAATAAAAACAAATTTTCAGAATGAGAGACCTAGGTTTTTTTCCATTTAAAACCCACATTGTTTAATTGTGATCTGTTCACAGCTTCTGCAAAATCCTTTAGCAAATGACACCTTTTCCACAGGTGGAACACGAGCTCTGCTGGCTACCAGAGCGAACCCATGCCAATCTACCTTGTAATAATCATAGAGCAGTCCGAGGGCAGCTGCACTGTCTTCATCCCCATTGATGCTCATCATAGCTTTGGTAGCTGCTGTGAGGGGATTTTCAAGAAAAGTTTTCCAGGCCTCATCTTCATTGGTGTAAGGACGTCTCTGAGAGTAGAGAGAGTCATTCTGAAGAACCAACACAGGTCTTTTACTTGAATCATAAAAAAGAAGAAATAAAAAAGCCACCTGTTAGAACATATGAGAAACATTCCTAAAGTTCTTCAAAATTAGATGTCCCAGTTTCATGGGCTTCATATTCTGATTCAGTGTACTGCAAAGATTAGTCAACACAAAAAGCCTAGAAACTTAATTCTGATCTCACTCATGCTCACAGTAAATCAGGATTAATTTGACCAAACTCAGATGGATTACACCAGCCTCTACAAAAAGACAAAGCCATGTAAGAGCACAACTGACCTGCTCATACTCTGAATCCAACCCAGAAAGAGTTACTTTCTAGCCAGCCACCTACAAAGCCTCCAGTACATCCTATGTAAAAATGCCAAGCTACAACCTGATACAGTTCCCAGGTGCATTAATGAAACATCTCTTTTCTACAGTGCTTTCAAATATCTTTACTCTTAGAATATATCTAAAAGCATCACCTAGAAGCTACAGATGACATAGGGAAATTGGTAAGGGGGAGTTCAAATCAATTTGGCAGTGCTTTTTTCTGACAAGGGGGAAAAAAAAACCAACTTACTGCCTGGTTACTATTGAAATAATCCAACACACTAGCTTGAAACACACTCATATGAGTGAGGAAAAAGGAAAAATCTGTGTTACTCCCTTTGTGCTATAGCATATATATATATATATATATATTTACTCTGAACATTTGGAGATTGCTAGGAACCAACAAACTCCAGAATGACTTCTACATTCCGTCCACAGACAAAAGAAAAATGTGTAGAAAATGTTGCCCTGACAGCCTAGAAAACTTAAAATTTTTTTGGTTGTATTGGTAAAACATATGCTTCATCTTTTAAGTCAGCTCAAGCCAATATTTAAATCTGACTTTTAAATCAGTTCAGTTTTCTTTCCAGTGCAAGTTTAACATTAGTTTACTGCAGATGGACAGGGGGAGAAGGAGAGGCTTTTTTATTTCCCTTAATAATCCCAAAGTTGACATTTTTAGTGAATTGGCCATGGTTAAAACAGAAAAATAATTATTTAAAAGCAATTAACTCCACAGAAAGCCCCCCACCACCTTCACATCCTTTTCCTAGCAGGGAATCCTTCTTTTCATCTATTTACCCAGATACACTCAGAGACTGAAATATACTAAAAATACAAAAAGTTGTGAAATAGAAAGTTGTGAAATACTGTAATCACTATAATCAGCTTAGCAGTATCCTACATTTATCACCACCTTCTACCAAAAAGATTGCAAAGCAAATTACGCATTCAATGCTTTATCAGTTACACAAGTCGCCCCACTGAGCTGCCATCAGACACCTTGGCTGAGCTGAAGGCACTGAAAGCAAGTGGGAGTTTCCAAGACTTGTAGGAGCACTTCGTGGCTATAAATCAGTATTATGTAGTTGGAAGAAGAGCAAACAAAAATGACAAAAGAGACAAGTTCTTGCATCAAACCCTTTCCTTAGGTCTTCATACGTACTTGTGTACACACTGACACAGACAGCAAACGCAGATACCTCTGGTATTGAGGACAGCTACTTTCTATCAAAGTGAGTTGACCCACAGAAGACAAAGCAGAATTTGCTTTAGGGACAACGCACAAGCTCCTGTTCTTATACAATATGATAAAAGAAATCTCAAATATCCACAGCAAATTGGAAAATTGTCCAGTTAAACTCACTCACAAAGAAAAAGGCAACTGAAGTAACCTGAGTGCAGTTCCCTTGATCCATCCCTGCTAAGCTAAAGGGCTAAATCAGACTTGCTGAACTCACAAGACCACTATAAGCTGATTCCCTCCAGCAGCCCAATACTCACATGGGAAGGGAGAATCATCAGAGAACCAAAAATACCGAGAACAAAAGCATCAACTAACCAGAAGCCTAGAAAATGCAAGACCTGTGTATTTTTGTGTGATTTCTGTGTCATTTAAAGACCCAAATTCAATGCACGTTGCCCTGCGGGTAACCCAGACACTTAAAAAAAGCACAGAAAAAGTTGTCTGCAGAATCATCAATAAAAGTGCAGTGTTTGACAGGAACTCACTCCATTAGAACCACAGCTTCTTTCAGGAAAATGAGAACATATTAAGAAGAGAAGGCAAACACAACTTTTTTTCCCAAGTTTCAGAAGGTAACTGGCATGCTGATCTCTTCACAGAGTAGTAGAATTCCAGCGGAGGCAGAAAATTAATTTTCACACAGCAGTTCTAATAATTTTGCAATTTTACTTTCCACGTGACCACAGTGGAAGCAGAGGAATAGTACAAAAACCAGAGACTCTCTCTCTGCCTGCGAGGCTTCCCCAGTCTGCAATTCTGTGCTCACACCACAGAAACTACTCCTCCTTCCTTCACGATCCAGGACCATCCGTGCTGTCCCTCAGCCTGCAATTTACCTGGTGACGTCCAGAGCTGCCAGCCGTGCTGTGTCTGCTCCTGCACAGAACACACCTCTAACGCTGAGGCAGCACCGAGCATTTCTGTCACTGGCATCTCTCTGTGTGCCAGAAAAGCAAAGTGCCTCTACCCAAATTGCTGCTCCCTCATCTACTAAGTGTCATTGGAAATAAAAACACCTATGAAAAATTCTAATCACAGGCATGAGTTAGCGAGCTGCTGCACTAGAGTCCTCTTCCTAGAAAGTAGCACGTTGAAACTAAAAGTTGGGTTTAAAATCCTACACATTCCCTAGGAAAGGAGTGCATTTAAGTCACCAATCATTCAAAGTATAGAAATTTTAGAATCGGTTCTTGACATCAAATCACTCCAGAGTTACCCCATTTTCTGGCACTTAGGTGTCCACGGCCACCGTCGGCAGATGGACACGGTGCAGCAGCAGACCCGAGTCCTTAAACACAGCCTGGGATCCGCTTGAAGGCGACGTCTCGTATACAACACCACGAAGTTAGAGAACCCACGCACCTCGACCTCAGTTTAACTCTTTCAGGACCCAGTTTCGGCTACTCCGGGGTCGCCGCAGCCGAACTCGCCGGCAGCCGCCCTTACCTGCCGAAGTCCACCTTGCCGGAGGGATGCGCCTCGTAGAAGTCCATGGGGGCCGCTGCGGCCGCCGGGCAGCGGCGCGGGGGCTCAGCCCGGCTCCCTCGGCCCGGCAGCTCCTCCCGACGGCGCGNAGGGCTCCGCGGGCCGGAGCTCTCGGGCGGCCTTGGCCCTGCTATCCCTGCCGTGCTGTAAATGGGATTCCACTCTCCCTCTCTCCCCTCCCGTGTAACTTCATGTCTTTTTCATGTACTGCACCCACATTCAGGAAAATCTCAGCTCGCCACAGTCGTATGAACTGTCTTTGCTATAGTCTTGACCTGCGCCACGGAAGGTTTAGGTTGGACATTAGGAAGAATTTCTTGGCGGAACGACTGATTTGACATTGAAACGGGGTGCCCCGGGAGGTGGTGGCCTCCTTGTCCTGGCGGTTTTAAAGAAAAGACAGGATGTGGAACTCAGTGCTTTGGTCTAGCTGACAGGGTGGTGTTGGTAATAGGTTGGACTCAATGACCTCAGGTATCTTTTCCAACCTCATTGATCCTGTGAATTTGCACAAGCTGCTGAAGGGCAGTAGAACCGCGTGTTAATTGTTGTCTCTCAGATGAACCCGGGTTTGGGGAGCAAGGGACATTTACAATGTGGCTAGTGCTGAAACTGCATCAAAATGCTCCAGTGTAACACCAGCAACAGCATCACAAACATCAGACTTATCCAAAGTGGCATGCTTGAAGTTAAATCAGAAAGATCTCGAGTTTCTCCTTGAGAAATAAAGGTGGGAGGTTGCTTGTCTAAGTAACAAGTTGAATCAAACCCATACAGCAACAGTGCTATCTATCAATATGTCAAGATGCTTCAGATAGCGACTGTAATTTAAAAGCATGCTCACTAATAAGAGGTCTCTCCTTCTAGGTCAAAATCTCTTCCCTATTTGTACAGGATATACTCCAATGCAAAATTATAGAAGAACAGCCAACCGAAGGAAATATGAAACTGAAGACAAACTTTAACTAAGGGTCTAATCCTGGAAGTTGCTTAATATCCTCTGAGTGGATTACAGTTATTGTACTAAAAACAAAATGCTTTGTTTGGATCTGCAAACATTGCCATTAGGATGGCAAAAGATAAATACCAATACTGAAGTCGGATCGTCGGCTCTACAAAATTAAATGAACTGATGTAAATTGTTCTTTATGACATGCAGTTAAAAGTATTCTATATTTTGAACTAATCTTTAAAATCTAATTCACGATTACATAGAAGAAATTTTCTTATCTGATCTCACATATGAAAAAAATACTGTCATCTGATTAAGAGGTTAGGAAGTTACATTTTTCCAAACAAGTATAACTTGCTTTGTTTCTGATACAAATTACCAAACCAGCTTAAAATCTCAAGTACTGGGAAGGCCTGCTGACATTCTTGGGTGTCATTCACTCCTCATGCTCCCTGCTTCTCTTTATAGAATTCTGGGATGTGCAGACGCAACAGCTGCTTTTTGGCACAGGAGCACACTTTTCTTTTACAATAAAATATAATACTGCCCTGTAGCCATAGGTGACCCAGATGCAGGATGTGCTGGAGTTCAGTCACATGTTTATATTGCACCCCAACTGCTAAAATCTTAGTGATGTGCCACACTTGATATTTCTACTTAACTTGAGTTCACCATGATTTTATTCCAAATAACTCAAAGCTGTTTGTCTCTGTGAAAAGGATGCTTTTTCTTAACAGCCTGATCCACTGATGAAAACTTGGTTATCTCCATAGCAATCGCTTCCACATTCAGGAGACAATGATATAAACATGGGATTGTGACACCGCTGACTAATCTGCCGGTCACAATCTAGACACTGCAACACCACTTGTAGGTGTATTTATGTGATGTCACTAACCAGGTTGCATCACCACCAAGTAAAATCAGGCAAGAAGCACAAAGGGATTTAGCAGAGCTTTGGCTGGGGCATAAAGCCATGCCAGCCTCGTGGGGCAGTGCTGTGGCAGGACTTCCCTTGCCCTGTGCTGACTAGCTTTCCCTCCAACTTCATCTTTCTCTCAGCCCTTTCACCTCGAATTCACTGCTCTCCTCCACCTCTCATGCCCTTCCCTTAACCATTGCCTCAGTCCTTCCTTCAGTATTCTCCTTCCCCTCTTCATGCATTTGTTTCCTTTTAAATGAGTGCCACTCAAAACATGCAAGGAACCCCACCACACTCATACATCATTGGCACTCATCGGGCTGAGCACTGTCCCATCATGCTTGCCCCTCTTCACAGTCTGTCTTTAGGCATTGCTGTATAGAGAAACTGGGATTTATTCTGGACAAGAATTAGCTACTGTTATGACTTACCTAACAAATATGGGTTTAAAATCTCATACCTGATAATTATCATCTACATGCTCTGGTCATTCACACCTGTATAATAAACAAACAAGTTGCATCAGGTTTGTGGCAGTACTTTTGATTTCACAAAACACGGCAGGGAGTCAAAACAAGATACTTTTTGCTTAATCTGAAACCCTAAAATACAACAGCTGGGCTGCAGAGCAGGATGTAAAGAGCAGAGAAACTCCTATGCTTTACGTTACACAGCACACCAGGCAAAATTTCCTTCTCTGCCAACAGGCCTCTGGTCGCTACGGGTAGACCTGGAAAAGTGAGCCCAAAGTGATCACTGACTCTTGCAGAATAAGCCTGAAGTCAACAAAGAGCTTAAAAAGAACACAAAAGAAAAGCCCAGACGGTTTTCATGAACTCAGTGGAAACTGAGGCAAAAGAAACAGTGGAAAGACACAGACAAGTGACAGTGGAAAAGGGAGCTGGAAATGCCTTGTAAGAAAGAGATGGAAAAAGCTGAGGGGGAAAAGGCATAGTAATAAATGAAAGCACAATGTGTGAAATATCAAACAAAGAAACAGTTTTCTTTCTGCTTCAGTCAAATCCCTAAATGCAGTCTTGCAAACATTCCTTAAAAATTCTCCTTTTTGATTCTGTATTTATCCCTAAAGATTATGTAAATACTATTAAAAGGATACAGACTACTAAGGGTCAAGAGATGCAGTTCCATCAGCCTGAGGACACTGAATTTACTATAATATAAATTCACCAATTTTTCAGGAGCCTATATATTAAAAAAAAAGCCTGAAACCTAAAATTTAATTTTTAGCATGTCATCTGGTTTCACTGAGCACTTACCATCTTTGGTTGATATTGTGCTTCCTCTGGGACTGACTGTTGTGTCCATAGGTCCTGCCACACAGGCCCATACTGGTGTAGTGAGAGAACGGCACGTGCAGGCCCTTTGGTGCCCACTGTTCCCTGCCCAACCCACTTTGCTCCTCAGCACAGAAACCACACAGCTGCCCAGTTAAGAGTTACCAATATCCTGGGTCTCAGTTCAGAGAACAATGGTTTGCCACAATTTTATACCAACACAGCACGACAGAAGCACCGCAGGATCGCAACACAGGCACTGAACACGCTTGGTGGCATTGTCACGGGGCAATGGCAGGGTCTGCAGCTGGTGAGCAAAGGCAGTGCTCCTTGGGACAATGGGGTGGTCTATGAGCTGACACAGAGTACTTCTACAATAGAGAGCAGTCATATGAGATTACCAGAGGAAAGTGCTTGTATTTTCTTCTAAAACCACCTGATGTATGGCTGGAGGCAGAATGTAGATGCCGAGGGCGGGGGAGGCATGTTCTGGCTCTGGAAGTACTGCCATTAATAGTTGTACAAGGGCAGCAGTAACCTCATGTGAGGACACCAGCTTCCATCTGCTCTGGTAATCCTTACTTTTGTTCACCATTTCAGCAGTGAGAGATCTTTCACATATGCCTGTTTCCACACCTTGGTATCCCCTTCATGCTCTCCCTCATCTAACCTGGCCAGGAGCAAAGAGCTTCACACATGAGGAACAACAGGACCAGTAACTGTGGAGGAAATGCTGGAAAGCAAGCATCCTGCATTTAGCACAAGGACAAATGTAGTGAGAGACACTGCTGTAACCAACCCACAACCTAACATGCTCAGCCAGGCAATATGTACCACCATATGTGCTGGGAAGCCCATTCAATTTTGGATCAAAATAGAAGACTCATTACACAAAGTTATTCTGACTTTTCTCTGCCTGTGAAGAATAAAACTTAGTCCTAACATGGGGAAAGGACGATCTAGATGATCTAGGGGGTAGACACATTATTTGGGGATTTAACATATCCAAACTTTACCTGTCCCAAAAGTCCTTTGGGTCCTGGCTCTTTTGCTCCCAGCCATGCAAGAGCATCCTCTTGAAAACTTACTACAATATCCTGAATTTTTATTCAGAACCAGCAGAAGTCTTATGTGTCCGAAACAGGAGAAAAGTTATTTGAGGGACTTTGAAGATTTCCAAGATGTTATGAGAAAGCAAGATACTCACTGCCTTGCCTGAAATACTGCATGAAGCTTTCTTAAATCTTCTATACACAGTTGTTTCAGGGGTTGTGCTAAAAATGGATTAGAAAATATGTAATTGCAGGGAAGCCCATACAATACCCTATGGCAAATAACTTAAGACTAGCATTGCTTACAGGCATTGGGCTTTGCCAATTCTCATTCTCTGGTTAAATCAGGTTCAGGGCCTTCACTCTGCGTAAGTCAAACACCTCTCCATGTCTGGACAACAGCAAAAATTTTGAAAAGAAAACTGTGTTTGACTAGGTTGATACCGAGAACACAGACACATTGAGGTAGTGAAAAACTAGTAAGGGTAATATACCAATTCTGCTGAAGGCTGTGCCTTTCAAAAGAAAATGAGACATGTGCCATATTTCTCCACCAAAACAGAAAGGTTGCATTTGGGAGAATTCAGAAAGCAAGGTTATTTTTGCCCATTTAAACACATTTTTTTGTAAAACATAAACTAGGAAAAAGTGAAAATTCACTTTAGAAGGCACATAAAGGTCTCAGAATAACTGATTTGCAATTGCCTAGGTTAATATTTAATTAAGTCTTCTCAGTATATACAGTTTAAAAAGTTTATTCTAAAAAAAACCACTTGCCTTTATCTATATACTTAAGAACTGTCATTCAAATTTTAGAGTAAGAAACTAAACAAGGGAAACCTCTTTTACTCACTATTACACGGGATCAAGTACAAAAAAGTAGCTGAGCTTTACCTGGGCGCTTTCAGCAAATAGTTCAGAAAGGAGCTGTGATTTCCAGGCCGAGAGAGGAGGTGATTGGGCTGTGCAGACACCCTGCCCTTCGGCTATGCCCGCAGCTCGCTCCGCCTCCGGCTTGCACTGCCTGCATGCAGAGTAGCTGTCCCAGGAGAGCTCACTACACTTCACCGAAGATAAGGCACTCCTGGGGCTCGTCAGCTTCTTAAACACCATTACTCCAACACAAGGGTTGATTGATTAAACTGGATAGAGCTAACAAAAAGCATTTCTGGGGCACACCCTTTATTTTAAATCTGACTCTTAGCTTATGCTGTGTCCAGAAGGCACATGGCTCTTGATGATTAACTGCATGCTTTATGCCAGTTTATTAAAGTACAGCCTTAATTTAGTCTAACATCTAAGGGAGCTTTCTTACGTTTGTAACAATGTAACAATGAGCACAGTATTCTTAATTTGTGAAGCTCAGATTTTACTACTACAGTAGTTTCAGAAGAAAGCTACACCTATAATTGTGTAAGTCCTTCAAATAAAGACTTCTGAATTATATTGATCCTTTATGTATACCAAGATGTCTTTTAGATAGTTAATTCAAAACTTTAACAGGTATTACAATAAAAAGAATGAGATGCTTTCAGTCATTTGAGCCAGCACCGTTGAAAAGAGTGACAATACACAAAAAGCGTGTATTACACTTCTGTAGATTTTTAACTGATACAAATACTCTTCTAGAAAAGTACAAAGAATAATTTTACTACTTACGAATATTAGTAATTTACTCAGGTGAGGTCAAACATTATACATAATGGCTAATTTTAAAACACAAACACCAGACATAAGAGGAGATTTAAACTGGTATGTTCCAAGTCCATTAATGTAAACATCAGTTCAGACATACCTTGCCAGAAGTCTGAGGTATCTAGCACAGCATGGCAATAGATTTAGACATACAGATTTAGACTGTGCCCACTTACGAAATCTCTTAACACATACACCAAGTAATAATTCAGTCTCTTTCCTCTTCCCACATCAAGCACAGTTTAGTTCTGTATGGCTAAAACTATACCTTATCATCTGCATGCTAGTCACTTTATAGGACCATTGTTTTAAATCCCTGTGCTACAATAACTAATTAAAATACCTGAAAAAGTAAAAACTTTCACCCAAACTGTGTCTTTTGTGTCACCCCATATCAGGACACCATATTACCTCCTGCCTCTATTGAGCCAGCAAAGCCTCCTGGTTTGCCAGTATTTCCATGTAACTATTAAAACTCACTTTTAATAGTCCTGTCTGCCCCACTTTTATGTGAGATACCGCTATCATTTGCTCCAGACTCCTGTCATTCACCTGTTCCCATTTTTTAAACAACTTCATGGTTTAAACCCTTCACAATCTACTCCCTGAACTGATTACCCTCCCAGATTACATCTCACTGAAGCCTTTGCTTGGGGAGGAAGTCATTACTCTTTGTCAAGTCTGCAAGCACCATTTTTCTTGGTTATAACAGCTGTTGGTTTTGGTTTTGATCAATCAGATTTGGTAAGTTCTGTGCTCTGTACTGATGGTTTGAAATGATGAATTTAATTTCATTCATCTGAAAGCAGCATTATTCATCTGGGTATCTACGCAGCATCTAGGTTCAATATATGTATGTATATTGTTATGGTGTCTTTCATGTAGTGGCAGCACCCAACTTCATTTACATGCTGTCTGGAACAGTATAAAAACATGGTGCATAAGTAAGATCAAGCATGAGAAACTGATGGAATGGCCAGGGCACAAGCTGCTGGAGTATAAAGTGGTCAGAAGAAATTCAAGGCTTTAACAGTAGCCTTGCAAAAGAATGACAGGAGGACCTGGCAGTTACCGCTGCATAGGAAATGGGATCAGATTTTACACCAGGTACAAAAGTATCTGCAAAATCTGTGAAGCCTCAAGTGGAATGTGGACCTGAATGGTGTTAACCTAAATGAGAGGCTCAGGCATAACAAGAGACTGGGAAATATACAGTATGCAAGGAAATATAGAAAACAGTGCCAAAGTTGTTCCAGAACAACTGGAATGTGGTTTAGAAAGTATAAAGAAAAAAACTCACTGCAATTAACATCAACGGACTTCTTCTTTTATTTGTTCACATAGCATTTAAAAACAAAATAAACATTATTTTCTAGAAATATATTTACTGTCATACAATGGCAATAAAAAAATAAGTATTTAAAATGCAAAATCTCACAATGTAATTATGCTAATGTAATGTCCAGTACACTCAAAATATGTACAATTATACCCAAAAAAATGGTAATTTCACAACTTCCTGTTGGCTCTGATGCAAATTAATGAAATAAATGGTAATTAATAGTTGCCTTGGCAGTTTCATTTCCCAGTATCAGTGACTTAAATTTCAGATAAAATGACACTAAAACTCAAGTACAGTAGTAGATCCCAGCACTACTATCTTAACAAAAAATGTCCATGAGACAAAAGAATCAGTGTAAGTTTAGATGTAAGACCCTGGTTTGGGATCCAACCAACTAATTTGCATGGGGTTTATACTGGTGCTTTAGGCCTTTTTTACTTTCTTAGGACTCTGTTGTATTTTATTTTTTTACTGAGTTTTTTATTAAAAAGTTTGTGTTCTATCATACACACCTCATCATGGATATAAGAGGGCTGAATCCTCAGAAGAAAGGAGAACAACCCTAGTACAAAATGGTAACTCTGGGGAAACTCTACTTCTCTGTAATGAGCCAGATGACCACACAATCTGAAAAGAAATGGAGAGAAAACAAAAGCCCTAAATTACAAGTGCATTTAGCTAGCATTTATATATTAAACTGTAATTAGAGACAAACTCTACATTTTACCAACAGCATAAGTCACTGTTCTAGTTTACAGTGTTGATTCCTGTGAGGTGATCCACTCCTGCAAAACCCTGAAGTATAGGACTGATCCAAGATATCTCCAGAGCTGGTGCAAACACACTAAGAAGAAAAAGCTACTATGAATCAGGATCTTACTCGGCCAGGCAAAGCACACATTCTTTGCCATTCAGGACTAAATGGAATCACTGTTTTTCCAGCTTTTAGCAAATGTAGCAAAGTATTAAAATGTCTACCTCACCCTATTTTTTAAATTTCTAAGACTATCCAATCCAGACACTGTAGGCTCTTTACTCTGTTCTTCTCCTTCCAGAGGGTTCCCTCTCATCTTCCTGACACTATGTCATGGGATAATAACCCATTCATTTATTGTCCATTGCCTTTGTGTGCTAATTACAAATTACATGTCGAGAAACAAGAGAGCAAAGCTAAGTTAAGTAAATGGGAGTAACACAGGAAACATCGGAGCAAAACTGATGAGATCAACAGAACGTAATTAGCATTGTAGCAGCCTTCTGCTTCATTATTTTGTCGCTTTTGTAGTGAAAATGTTAATGAAAATGATGAGGTGGTTTTATTGATGAAGTATATAATGAAAAGAGCAGACTAGACTTGCTGGTAACAAGTGTCAGACTGAAAAAAAAAGATGACACAGAGGATGAGCTGCAGAGATAGCTCTGTAAACATTAAGTTCAGCAACTTAGGTTGGAAAAACACCAAACTGGCTAAGCCCCAAATTTAGTTTAAAATACTACAAAGTTTCAATTTTTAAATAAAAACACATTAAATTGTGTACAACATGTACAATGATATGGGGGTACAGGTGCTATATTCACCTACAAATCCTATACATCTAACTTACTAAGTATTGCCTTGGGATGTGGAGAAGCAGTTAAAATGTTCCCTGTGTCTCATTCAGAACAGCTATCTTAAATATTCACCAGAACAACTGGGATCTGTCTGTCCCAATTTATGGGTAAGTGTGCTAATTACTAGACTATAAAGTCATTTGCTCGCTCCCTCTGGCCCAGCAAACATTTACATTTTCCCTCAAACTGGAGGAACAGCCAGACCTGTCCTGAGTGCCAGGCAAGCTACGCTTCACAGAGTGCAGTCTGTTCAAAGCCTCCCAAAGTCTGGCACACTGGAAATCTGGAACTAGGTCTCTCATGCCATATATCCCATCCTCTGCCCTACCTCACACCCCCCAAAAGCATTACAACATTTTTCACAGACTGTAATATCTCATCGCATATAGAATCATACAGTCCTTTAGGTTGGAAAAGACTTTATCAACATTGAATATAACTCCTGCCACCTAAAGACTTCCATAGTAAATCAGTTTAGAATCCAGTTTACACCAGAAAGTTTTAAAATAAAATGTAAAAGCATTTCACTAACCATTTGATTGATCTCAGCTTTGTTAACACTGTAATCACACTTTAGTCCCAGGAATAAAGCATGTTAGCAGTCCAGTTAGGCCATGCTGATTTTTAGAGAAAGGGAATTTGTAAGATTTTTTTTTTTTAGTTCTATTCTACATACATGGGATAAACCCTCATATCTGAGGGAGTAGATGTTGTTTTCCAATGTTAAGTAAGTGTCAGATGTATACTTAACTACTTGCATTGCAAATGATATAATGGGAAATTTAACTGGTAAGAATTTAAATTCAAATCTTGTTTCATGAAGGCTATGACAGTTTGCCATTAACATTTTAATATATTACATATGAAAATGTAGGTTTAAAAACAGACTTTGCATGGAAGATTATTCACACAAACATACACCGAAATATCCACTCCTTCAATGTGTACATAAGATTACGCAAATCTGTGGTAAAAGGATTATTACCTCTACTCCCTTAAAGAAAAAAAAAAGGTTCTTATTCATACAAAAGAATGAATCCATATAGCCAAACCTCTTGTAACATAACACTGTGCTTACATTATTCCAACCCATTTCTGTCATGGTGAGTACGTGAAGAGTAAAGTGAAAAGGAAAATAAAGATAAGCAAATAAATCCACAGAAAGACAGAAAAGACTGCATACTTGTAAAACCCAGTTATTTTCAAGGGAAATGTAATGTTTTAAAAATCAAGACCATATCACTAAGACTGCATAGAGGCTACTGATATCTGAATGCCATTTTGAATTATATACCAGGTAAAAATTTCACCTGCTATTCAACAGAGAAATGAAATCTCATTTCACATGAATGTAACCCAGCCTCCTTTCCAAAAAAACACTTTCCAATAGCATGCATGAGAAATTCAGGAGAATCCAAGCCAGCTACAGTCGATCTTTTTCACTGATATTCACCAATACATTCCTCTTCTGGATTAGGGTATTATAATATAACCAATGGCAGAACCGAAGTCTGGCATATGATCAAGAAGTCACTGTGATTAAGACCATAACAAAATCAGTATAGTGATTTAGAAAATAAATTCTCTGTG